AGCGACCTCTGTTATCCAGTATGATGAGGTCTGGGCTATGGTGGCACTGTGTCTGGTGCACTGGTAGGGGGTAGGGCTCAAGAGGGAACAATGGATATCGTGGGCACTTCTGTACAGAGTAAGTCTCGCCTCGGCCCTCACTCCAACAATGTCTCCCTGTAAGTCCCTGGTGCCTTCTGCGTGCAGCCAAATGGGCACTGGTACTCAGAGCGAGCAGGTCCGTCACCGGGAAAATCTACTCGCGGAGGCAGCCCCTTTATGAGGCTTGTGCCGCTGGACAGCCTCGCCCCTGTGCGCAGCCAAATGGGCACCGGTACTCAGAGTGAGCAAGCCCCTTTATGAGGCTTGTGCCGCTGGACAGCCTCCGTCTCACTCAGCCGCTGGAGACCACATCCTCGCCCTATCCTACTTTCTGCCGTTGCAGGGTGATTTCTTGTATTTCTCCCTAGTTGTATGGCTTGTTTATCTAGATCCCAGGTGATTTTTCCTTGCTGCTGCTCCTTGTTTCCGTCACAACTTCGATTTGGTTGCCAGAGGGATGAACAGAGCCTCTATCATCTACGTTATTTTTTCCCCTCCCTCCTGTATATTTTTTATTACTAGCATCCAAAGCCTTCTAATTTGGGAGTTGTCTCCTAGCATCAGTGTCTTTGTGGGAGGCAAGGCCTGTTATCTAGGCTTGGAAAAGTCAAACACCCCTATGTAGCATTTTGGATTTTCAGGGGATATTCCAAAGGCACAGGCAGCTGACAGCCAGTGTCCGTGGTGGTGACATTGGCAGCAGCTTCCCAACCAGACTCTTCCTGTGGCATAAGCTAGGCTGTCACTCAATGCAAATGAGAAACCAATTTCTAAATATCTCTCTCTAGCCTTCTAGTTAGTTCCACAAGTACCCCCAAATTCCTTTCTGTTTAAGTTTTTGTCCAAAGACCTTCACCAGTGCAGTAAGTTTGGAATGACATAAGAAGCTATGAATGCTGAGAGCGGTGTTTCTCAAATTCTTGTGAAAAGTCCAATTTTTATTCAAGAGGTCTACGTAGGGCTTGAGATTCTTCATTTCTAACAGATTCCCAGGTGATGTTGATAATTCTAGTCCACAGACTAAACTTTGGGTATTGAGACTGAGAGCACTCAATGCTTGTAGAGAAGAGGCTAGAAAGGAAGAAGGAGCAAAATGAAGAGTGTTTAACACTGTATAATGGAGTCTGAATCGCTCTTGCAGGTGACAAGCAGCCATTAAAGGATCCCAGGGGAGTGAAATGAATAGACTACAGTTTTAAAAAGGCTTCTATGAGGTATGTAAACAAGAGTGTGAGATCAGGGCACGGATGCAGAGGAACCAGTCAGGAAGTGTGGTAGGCAGAAAAAGAGCGCCCCCCCGCCCGACCCCAATGTCTTCATCCTTGTTTTCAGAACCTATGAATATGCTACCTTGTATGGCAACCGGGACTGGATTATCCAGGTGGGCTAATGTAATCACATGAACACTTAAAAGTGGAAACCCTTTCCTGGCTGTGGTCACAGGGAGATGTGACTATGGAAGGATGGTCAGGGGTGCAACATTGTTGACTCTGAAAATGGAGAAAGAGGCTCGAACCAAGGTGGCCTCCAGAAAATGAAAAAAGGCAAGGAAATGAATTCTCCTTTAGGACCTTGTGCTGTTTTAAGCCATGAGTTCATGGTAATTTGTTACAGTGACAATAAGAAACTAATACTAGAGGTTACTGCAACGTTCCAGGGAAGAAATGATGAGACCCTCATTTAAAAGAGTGGCAGCAGAAAAGGAGAGACTTGGTTTGAAAGATTATTAAGGGGGACAGAGATGAAGGGACGTAGTCACCAATCAGGTGTGTGTATGGGGTTGGGTAATGAGGAAGAGACAGGGGTAGAAGGAAATTGCCAGATTGCTCTCTTGGACAAATGGGTCTATGGTCAAAAGGACGCAAAGAAGTGAGCACGCGAGTATGAGTGTGCGAGTCTCCCCTAATATTATTCAGCTCCTTTCTTCCAATTCCATTTTTTACCAAGAAATCTTCTAATCTTGACTCTCAAGCTCTCCCTACTGGGAAAAGCATGTGTTCGCCAGCCAACACAAACACTTGTTCTGTTTTGTCAGTTATATTTTTCACCCTAAATTAATGAATTATCATTTTAGTCATAAACTAGTCTCCTATGAGTTTAGTCAGAGCAAAACAATTTGCCAGAGTTTGCTCTCTCCCAGATGAACTGACAGAACTGAATTTCTGCCCCTGCAAAAGAGAGGATCAGACCTTGAACTGTGGTGGCCCCAGTTTTGTCTCCTCATCTGGCACAGCTCCCTGCACCCTATACTGGGAAGAGTCAGGGGTAGGGAGACCTGGTAGAGGCTGCCTACTACTTAACCCCTATGCCAAGTCAACTGAGAATCATGAGGTTTTGTACTTGCAACTTAACAGCTATTTATAGTTCACACTCTGAGGAACTCGCCCCTGTCTGGATCCCCTGCTTAGGTAGCAATGCAGTCCTGGGAAACCAAGAGTGCGGAGTGAGTTCTGGTTGCAGTTGATCTGGAGGTGGCTGGTTTCATCATAAAAACAACTTGGAGAACCTGAGAAAGAATATAATGACTTTCCAAACCCACCGTGAATTATTTCTTTACCTGCACCAAACTTGTCAAGTGACACCTTCAAAAAAAAAAAAAAAAAAAAGGGACAACAAGGACCCTTTGTCTTTCACACCAGGGGCTGGGACTGTTATCTACTCACTGCTCAGGTGAAGAAGCTGAGGCTCTTGGAAATTAAGCTTCCTGCCCAGCATTGCATCAGTCTAATGTAGAACCAGGACTTGACTTCAGGCTCTTGATGACAAAATCTACATCCTTTCTACTTGACCTGGGTTTCTCTCCTTCCCTCACAATCCCTTCCCACGGGTCTGTCATTCAGGAGTGGTCTGATGGTTCTCCTCCCTAGAGGTTCCCAGCACATCTAGGGCTGTAACTGTGGCTCCCAAATCACCCAACAGTAAAATACCCACCAAGCCAATAAGTACTGTGGCTCCCTTTCCCCCATGTTCAGCTTTCTACTACATGCTGTGGGGAGTCATAGAATGATGAACTGCTCCTGCCCTCTAAAAATTTAGAAAGCAACAGGGCTTAAATCATGGGGTATTTAAACTGCAGAACTGGAATGGGCACCAGAGTCACAGAGCCAGGAGCTGAAACAGTTCTACTGGACTCTAGGGTCCGTGCTCCTGCCCCCGATGCCACAGTGTCTCCCAATAATGGTGCTTTATGGTCCACACAGTGTTTTCCAGACAAAGAAACTGAGGCTCAGATGGGTGAAGTCTCTCATCCAAGGCCAAACAGTGGTATGTGGCACACGGGGGCCTTCGATTCCATGGACTATTTCCTCTCGCCAGTACCTCCCTGCTTTCCTCACTTCGACACTAGTTCTAAAGAGGAGGTCTAGACAGAGGAGAAGATTCCTGGGCCACACCAGGCAAGTCTCATGAGAAAAAGAGTAATGAAGGGACTCCTTTGCCCTGCTGCCAGTGCTCACACCAAAGAGAGCACCCAGCTTCTCCCACCAGTTCACACCCAGTTTCCCCCACCCGAAAAGTGCTACTTACATATTCTTTAATGTCTTTCGATTTCACAGCCTTGTATGAATAATATGCAGGGTAAAGGGTGCCAAATATAAGCCTGGAGGGAAGAGAAAAAAAGAGAAATGTGATTTTCATTCATCCTCTTTGATGGGAAATGTCTGTCTTCAATGCCAGGAACAGTTCTTTAAGCTACAGAAAAGGCTGCCGTGGGGCTTGATTTACTTTTCTGAAAGCCCTGAAGGTTTTTAGCTCCTGGCTAGGATGTGCTTAGGAAACTCTTGTTAATGGCTCCACATCCACCTTCCTCCAGTCTATACTTTGGCAACATGGAAGGGTGATCTGGGGTCATGGAAGCCAGTGCGGATGGAGGTGGGAAGCTAAGCTGAGCAGCCAAGACCCCTGATCCCTTTCTGATGTCCTATAAAGCCCACCCGCACAATGGGCTTCCTTCACCATTAAAACCTTTTCACTAAAAGCTCCTTCAGATTTTACTCCTCTCATATTAGATTTCAGCATCCTGCAGCCAGAATCAGCTTTTCAATTGTAAATTCATTCAAGCCACCCCCTCCTTCTGCCACACACATCCCCACCCTGCATTAACCTGCTTCTCGCCGCTCTTAAGATGAAGCAGCAAAAATAACACCAGCATAACTGGCCATCAACTCTCACTGATCCATGTCCAGGGCTGGCTGCACCAGGTCACTAAATAATTTGACTTTCAGCCCTGCCTCTAAGGACCGGCACAGCATAGCTCTACCTGACCTCATTCTCTCCAACCTGCTCCATCCCCGCGCCAAGCCTTTCCCTGTGCTGTTGTCTCCTTCTGCAATCTTCCCTCCCCCTTCTTTGTCTGGTTAATGCCTGTTCATCCATCAGATCCCAGCTCCATAATGACTTGTTCAAGGAAGCCTTCCCTGACCTCCCAACTAGGTCACAGCCTCCCCACTGCACTCGCATAGCCCTATGTACACATTGTCAGAGTGCTCTTTGACTATCGTTTGGCTGATACTTTGATTGACAAGATCTCCCCACTGAACTACAAGTGCCTTCAGGGCACAGAATGGATCTGTTTTACTCAACAATATATTCCCAGAACCTACCATGTAGTAGGCTGTCAATGGATATTTTAAAATGTATGACCTGACAGAATGTTGGAGCTAGAAAGGTCTAATCCTTTCACCTAACAAATGCAGTCACCCCCAGGTGTCACTTCAGGTGCAAGCTGATTTGGTACAGGAGCTGTGCTGGCCTCCAGCCCAACAGGAGCCAATATATCCTGTGACAATCCACAGACAGAGCTTCCAGGGTCCCTGCAAGGAGACTCCACACTCTGGAAGCCCAAAGCCCTGGCTCTCTCATCAGGTATTTAGAGGTCATACAAGAGAACTCACAGTCTAGACACAATTTACCAAGCAGTGGTCAGCTTTCCATAGCGCTCTGGCCAGGTAACATCCTGACATGCTACATTCATCAGGTTTCCAGGGAAAAACAAAACTAATGGAATTGAGTCAGTTTCTGATGCTGAAAGAGTTTGGTACCCTCAGCTCACACAGGTCTTGCGCTAATTGCTTCACAGGCATCACCTCAGACCTCAGACCGCCTTAGTTGTGGGAATCTCTTTCATAGGCAGACACCAATGCACAGAACTGTTGGTCATTTGCTTGTCTAAGGTTCCACAACCATTAAGAAGCAAAGCATCTGACGACTGGCTGATGTCTGCTGGGGGCCCATGCAGGGCAGCCTCCTCCGAGTCTGGCTTTTTGCTAACACTGCCCACTGGCTTGGAGAGCAAGGCCATCCTCTGGGAAGGCTGGGATTATGTGTGAGGAGCAAGATAAGCCAGCAAAGGGGACAAAAGGGCATCTCAAAGGAAGGGAAAAACGAAGAACTTGTGGTAGAAGAGAAGAAATTTTAAAAAGAGAGAAGGCAACAGCGCTGAAGGCACCAACCAGGCAAAGGGGGTCACAGCCTGGGAAAGCCCACAGGGTTCGGTCATGAGCCAGCTTGGTGAGGGAGGTCTTCCCAACCACTTCACCCTGCCCGCCTCCCAAGCACCCTCAGATACCAGAGAGTCTGCCTTCCTCCATGAGGCCTTTCCCAACCACATCACCCTTTGAAGATCAGTTTCTTCTCCCTGCCTTCCTGCTACAACATCCCTCTTTCTTAGCCCTTATCCACACCACCACCCCTTGCAGTGGTTTATTCAGTTGTCTATCCCTCCCACATTGTATGTTCCACAAAGCTAAGAATGGTGTCTGTCTCCTTCATAACCGCACCTCCTGGGCCTGGCAAGTGCTCAATAAGTACACGGAGCAGTGTTCACTGTGTAACGTTGCAGAGAGTGGTGAAGCAAAGGTCAGAGCCATCCACAGCACATTAGTGACCTTGGGACTAAGGTCTCAGCAGCAAGAGGGATGCCAGATGGCAATGGCTGATTCAGCAAAGCCTCAGACACAACGCCACTGGCTCCTCTGGTCCAGATGCCCAGGTTATTAGTCACATCTGCCAGGAGAGTTTTCAGTCCCTGCCCTGAGGCAGCATGTGACAGCAGAAGAGAGACAGGTGGAAAGTACACAGTTACTCACCATTCACTTGATTTGCTGTGAACTCCCATGAGCAGTAACCTCTCTAAGTGGTCAGAGAACTGGGAGGGAAGCCTCAGTGGCACCCAGATGGGGAAGCTTATGCTCCATCTGCTGGGCTCCTAATGTGAAATGGCTGCCAGTGTCCTCCTGCCTGACTCTCATTTGACAGCACAGGGACAGCAAGACAAATTTGCTTTTCAGTCCCTAAAAGCTCAATAACTCTGGCAGGTAAAGGAGCACACTTAGCATTTCACTGCCCAGGCAAGGGAGAAAGGGATTAAAATGGCAAGTTCTTCTAAATCCATTCTGGAGAAAACAAATAACAAATGAAGCAGGTCCAAGCCAAAAGAGTTTGGGACTTATGTCCAAGCAGACGATGTCTCCTCACAAAGCCCTTCTACATGGGCCCCACGGCCTTCCTTCCCAGCCTCACAGCCTGCCCCTTCCTTAGCCTCCAGATCTCACAGCCAACAACTGTCCCCCAATAAGCCATGCTCACTCACAGTGTGACTGTCTGCCTGCTCTTTCTCCTATCTGAATCTTAGTGCATGATTTTCCCACAACCCCACAACTTTGCCCCCACTAATCCTTTAAGATCTATCTCAAAAAAAGCTACTTCTGTCTTTGATCACTTATCCCTCAAAAATTTCTCAATATTCTTTAAGTCTATTACAGCCCTTATGTAGTAATATTAATAAAACATTAAAATAATGATATTAATATCATTGAGAGCTCATTAATGCCAGGCACTGCTCTATAAATTGTATACATTCTCTTGCTTAATCCTCTTAACACTCATATGGGATAGAAATTCTTACTACTCCATTTTACAGACTGAAACACTGAGGCCCAAGGAAACACAACTTCCAGGAACAGAGCTGGGATGTGGACCCGGGCAGCCTGACAACAGGGTCTGTCTTTCTTCTCCTAGGCTGCCTGTGCTGGCTGAGTCAGTCTCGTCATCTAGACCATGCAATCCTGGGTAATTAGTGGGGGCCCCATTGCCGAGCACAGCCCCTGCCCAGGTGGGTCCTTGAAAAATGTTGAGTGAATAAAGAACAAAGAATTGCAATCTCTCTCTAAGGAACTTAACCCACTTGATAGATTCACAAAATTCTCTCTACAAGGTCAGGAGGAAAGCAATACAACACTTACGAGGATCTACAGCTACTGAAGTGTTCACCATCAGCTGCAGCAGAGAGAAGGTGGAAGGCTTGAGTGCGACCTTCTAGAGAGGAGCCCGGGCTCTGTGCTAACACACTCCTCCCAGTTGTCTGAGAATGGAGTCTCACACTGCACCTTGCAGCCTGAGAGCTCTGCACCCACCCTACTGTCTCTACTGTCATTTACTGTGACCTTGAAGCCCTCTACCCCTAACTTACTGGCTCCATTTATTTGCCTGCTGCATTTCTCCTATCTTTTCCCTTCGTTCCTCCTTTCTCTCCAAGTTAGCGACCTCCTCCACAGCTATAGCACTAGAAGGGGTCCTTCATCTCACGTGAACGCTATCCTCTAAGGCAGTGGTTCCCAACCAGGGGCAAAACTAAGTGTCTAGAAACACTCGGGCTGTCACAATTGAGAGAGTACTACTGGCATCTAGTGGGTAGAGGCCAGGGATCCTGCTAAATACCCTACGATGCACAGGAAAGCCCCCACAACAAAGAATGGTCCAGTCCAAAATGCCAACAGTGCCGAGGGTGAGAAGCCCTGCTCCAATGTGCTGCTTCCCAGTCCTCAGGCCACGGATTGTTCACCTAAACATCAAGCGCAATCTGCCTCAAGAGTTTAAAAACATACCAATGTCCCAGGCATTGCTCAGATAGGAAAGAATGGTCCAAAATGGCAAAAACCACACACCTACCCCATTGGCCAGTGTCCGGGAAAACGCAGCTCTAAAACTACTTATTGACTTCCTGAAACTCTGGCCAAGAGAAGTACTACTCACATGAATTAACTGTAACTGTGACACCAGTTACAGCCACCAAGGTGGGCTGCTCACCACTCTCCAGTCTGCAGAGGGGCAATCGCTCTCCTGGTGCTTGGCTACACACTGTGGCACTGTGGTTGTTAACTGTGGCCAAAATCTCTCTAAAACCTGAAACAGACAGTATTTTTCACAGTCTTCTAGGACATCCTAGTGTTGGACAGCACTTGCCAAACCAAAATAATGCTGAAAATTTCAAAATCGGTGCTAGCAATATTTTTTCTGAAATTAATTTTTAATGTAAGAAAAAGAAATTTTTCATACTGTGACAAAACAAATTGAATTTAAGAAAATGTACACCGCATGTGGGCTTCTGCACTGCTGAATTTCTTGACCTGGATGGTAGTTACCCAGAATTTGGCTTTACAAATGTATATTAAACTGTACACATATATTCTATGTATTTTTCTATATGTATATGTTCTATTTCATAATTTTTAAGAAATGATGTGTCATATCCAAGAAAATTAATTTGCAAAAGGTCTTCCCTTTCATGGAGGCATAGTCTTTTCTGTGAACATTAGAAGGTATTAAAATTTATGATAATTACATTTTATGAGTTTTCTTAATAAAATTTAAAAATACATAAATTCTATTTATGGTGTTCTGAAGGATTTTTCTAAAAGCTTATGAATCAATTTTTGTCACTCTCAGTGAGAATCACTCTCCAAGACCATTTTGCTCTCTCCTCTAACAGAAGGACACTTCTTGGTTCTTGAGCTCCTGACATTCCAATAAATATGTTATCATTTTTAATATGGAAAAACTTTAAAACATGATGGATATATTTTAAATCTCCTTTATACGCTTCCTGATTCAAGTTAATTTTTGTATAAAGTGAAGGAATAATTCAATTTCATTTTTTTGATCATTCTCACCATGTTTTATTAACCTACATAAGCCACGCATAAACAAATTGTTTATATCTGTTTAAACATTACATAAATGGAATCGTACTACATGGATTTCACCGAAATGCTTTTTTTTTTTAATTCAACCTTACGTTTTTGAAATTTGATCCATGTTGATAGCTGTCTTTCTAGATTATTTTAAACAACTGTATACTATTTCACTATGCTAATATATCACAATTTATCCATCCTATTGATGCTTATTTAGCTCCTTTCCTATTTTTTACTATTACAAACAGGGCTATAATGAACATTCTTATACACATCTCCTTGTGCACACATGAGACTTTCTCTAGGGTATACATA